TGGGACCAGAGAAAATCTCTCTTATATCCGGGTTTCTCTTATATCCGGGTCTCTTATATCCGGGTTACACTGTACTTTAATTTATTTGGACAATTGTTTTCATTTTGATTGTTACAGATGTTGCAATAGATATACATAATTATGAGTTACATAGTAGGAGAGATCAATCTTTTCAGCCTCGTTTGACAGCCAGTCTAGAAAAACAAATTTGAATCTAAAACCGGGGCTAGCAACTCCATTCTATAAAAAAAACTGTTTGCTTAGAAACCATACAAAAACCGCCTAGCGTGTTGAGAGGCTTGATTCTACCCTCTTCAGTAGAGACTTTATTTTTTAAATCATTTCACCCCAAGCAAGGCGATAATGCCAATAAGACGAAAGGGGCTATTGGCAGTTGAAGAGAATGAAATCTTTAAAAGAAACCGGAAACACAATCCTAAACAGAGAACAGGGCATAAACCTCTACTCCTGTTCAAAAAACCGGGGAGGGGTGTGAACCGGACGATAGGCGAGAAATGTCTATATTGATTGATTGATATGTTTTTTACGGCTTATCAACCCTTTTCAGGTTATTTAAAGCGAGAAAATATTTTTAGATTGGAAGAATTGTTTGGCAATAACAATTAATTACTGTTACAAATCATGCTAATTAACCCATAACGTGACTAAAAAATAAGTTGGATTCATGCCTTACACAAGTGTATTGGTACGTAAGTGACTATAACGAACCCAACTGAAATTAGAACCCGGCTCTCTGTTTAACTTCGATAACTGTCACCATGAGAAAAGCCGTTCGAAATAATTAAAGTAAATTGACAATCCCATAATCTCAAAAATGAAATATAAAATTAAAAAAAGTGGAACGAACTTGCCATAATAATTAAACCATTTCATATTAAATATAACAATTCATAAAGGACACTATTGGTCACATAGTAAACATAGAAATTTGTTAAAACATCTGTTGTTTTCATTTGGTGGTCGTGAGTTCAATCCTTTCACCAAGTAGTAAACATTTGGTTTAGTTTGTTTAACGTCATGTCAATTTATTATGGGTCATTTAATAGCAAAACTTGGGAACTTTGGTAATTTTCATTTTTAAATATTTATAGCTGGTAATTTTTCTCTTCCATTTCCAAAAATGTACTGCCGATAATTTCCTACAAAAATGTATTTTGATCCCAGTTTGGTGGAGGGGTTACTATTTGCCCATATCTGTGGCCCTAACAAGTGCTACCAATTCGGGTTACGGTGGACCTGGGAACCTCAGCAATTAAGAGGTAAATTCACGCTCCTCAAAAACTCCCAATCAGAATCCTTGCTGCCGGATGTAGTTTATCGTCATACCCAGGGCTGGTAGTGAAAGGATACGCACTAGTTCAGCAGAAACCAACAAGAAATGGTATCGCAGAGGAAAAATAGCACAATGGTAACAGTTAAGGTATTATTAGATGTTTCTTTATTCACGTTGGCCATTTATTAACCAAGCAGCCGGTACTTCTCGCGATTGAAATTAATTTTATTTTTTATTATTTTTTTAGGAAGGGGAGTGACTTCATCTAATGCAAGGAAAGTTGGTTCACCGTGACGTGAAACTTTTTCTCGTCATAATCCGTCTTGCACATTTATAAATTTACCATTCACGTTTGTATTGAATAATGTTGCTATATCTGGTCTGGCACTCCTGCTGTATATCTCGAGATTTTTAACAAAATCCCAAAAGGGCCTGAAATGTAATCACTACTGACCAGGTATCTGGACATGATGTAGCTTCCATCTGTCTTTTTCTACAGATATGGCAACATTTCTGACGTGCTTTTTTCCCTGGTGCACCGACAACAGGAAGTAAAGCGTATTTGCAACTAGGTATCACTTTTTTTAGTGTGACTTAGCTAGATGCAGTCGCCACTTCCACTCTAACACTTTCCTTTCTGATTTCTTTCTTCCCTAATAACTACAGTGTTCAAAAATTTAAGTACCACGTCAAAGATCATCTTCCTTTTTTTTTTAACTTTGTCCCTGTTTGTTCTTTCACCAATCCTTCCCATTCTCAGTTTTTTATTCATTTCACTTTCACTTTCATTTTTAATTTAACTCCCTGTAACACTCTACGTTCTAATGAAATTATAGCCTTTCTTAGGATGAAACGATCAAATAAAAATATTTCTCTCAAGTTCAGTAACTATTATTGCCCTTTCCAGTCTCGATAAAGGTTTCCTTCCTAGCCTTTTGCTTGATTAATGTGGAACGTCAACATTTTGATTAGGTCATAATCTTCTCATCGTGTTACATGTGCTGTCTATTTTCGTTGTTGAAAGTCCTCGTGTGATGTGGTTTCTGTTATTTCGTGCGGATCCTTTGTTTGTGATTCTGTAGCGCCAGTCCACGAGGATAGCCCTCTTAAAACCTACATGTTTCAATGACTCAAAGCCGTTTTTAATCACTGATCTGGCCAGTGAAAAAATAACGGAAACGTTTTGTCTATACAAACAACTGTAACAATCAAGACGTAAACTATGGTGTGAAATAATTAAAGGTTTTAGAGAATTCTTTATCTCACAAATAACAGAATTGCTGGAAGTTAATATCAGATGTTCACGAAGCATAAAAGTGAATTTAAATTGAATTATATTTTACTAATGTCATAATCAGGGTCACTGGCAGATTTGGCAATTACAGGAGCCTAATATGAACACAATTTCACTGCTGATTAAAGATGAAAATTATGCAAGTCTCAGTAAAAAGAAAGCTGTGGAAGTTGATTTGATGTCTTGCAAATGGATGTGCGGGTGGTGTAATAGATGACTGCTCGGAAGCGAGAATCGAGTTCGAATTACACTCGAGTTTGTTACCTTCACTTACGAGCACTAATGGGAAAAATATGAATCATTATATTCTCCCCAAATTTATGGATTAAACAGTAAGACTTGTAGTTAAAAAAATAATTGTTATCTCAAAAATTTTAATGCAATATTCAACAGTACAAATAATTATTTTTACGATCCAAAATATATTTAGCAATGATATCGCAAATTTTTCCTTGAAGAAATCTATAGCTGGTGATATTTTGTTTTTTTCAAACAATGTATAACTGATTGTGTTGCTGCTGGTATTTTCAATTTTAAAATATAAAAAATGCTTTATTTTTATTATCGAATTTGTTCATTGCTATTCGAAACGGGAAAAAAAGAGTTCTATTGTATTATTTAATTTGTTTTGTTATAAATAAAACTACATTTACCAAAAAAAAAATTACATTTCTTTACGGTAGTGCGTAATGATTTTCTGCAAGGAAATTCTGTAAAAGAAGTAAATAGGCCAAAGGCCACCGGAAGTACTACGCAATGTATCAGTATTCATGATGGCAGTAATGGGGGACGAATGACCAACAAAAAGTCCGATTTATTCTTGTCGTTAACTCCAAAACGGTGGGTTTCTTCATAATTTACTTGTTAATTTGAGTTCAGCATGTACATTTGCACGGAATTATGACGATTTGGGGAAAGTTTTAAAGGATATTTAAACCCATGACATTGTTTCTGTGCTTCGTTATAAACGTCTCACAAGACTTATCGAGAATTACTTATGAAACTAATTTCTCGTCTAATAAGCAAATCTTTTTATGTACCGTATCCCTTCATGGCGTAGGTGATCACGGCTCTCCACAAATTCCTGTTTTCATAACTCTTAATAAACTGTCTATTTGTCCTAAACCCTGTTCCACCACCTATTTACTTAAGCTCAAGTATGTAATCCGTTCTTTTCCTCTGTCCCACTTGCCCTCAAATTGTCCTGTGAGTATCAGATTTTCCAAGCCTTCTTTCTTCATTATATTCCACAGATATCTCAACTGTCTCTTCCTGATGTTAAGTATTTGTTTCATTTGTGTTTCCATTTTCCCTAAATACTTCATCGTTACTTATATATTTAGTCCATAGTATCCTCAGAATCCTTCTGTAGAAACATATTTTTGTTGCTTCAAGTATCTTTTTAATCTTTGAGGAGATTGTCCAACTTTCAATGCCATACAGAACGACAGATATCACCAAGCAGTTCAGCACTTGTTTCTAGTGATTTTTTTTTCTATTTCTTAGTACTCTGCTTAGCTTTTGAAATGTAAATAACACGCGCACGTTCGATTGTTAATTATGTTGTCTTTGTCAATATTGTGTTGATATTTTGATGCAGCACATAGGGTCGACAAAGACGTGACCCTCCATGTCAAAATCCTGCTCACCACTGATCTTGGGATTAATTTGTTAAAGGGAGATAACTATTGATTTCGCATTTGTTATTAACATACATGATTCTCATTTTTTCTCAGTGAAGAAAAGTGACTTCTTCATTTCTAGTCAGCAGATTATTGCAAATGGCTGGACTTTGTGTTCGATTCTATGGTGAGAAATCCAAATTCTCCTCCTTAGAATTATTTCAAATTTCTTGGACATTTTCTTGCACTGTTGAAAGCGCTGCATTCTGGCTTTTTGACAGATGTCTATCGTTTTGACAAAGATTTGCTTTTCTTCAAAGATATTCCCCAAACTGGTCGGGTTATTCCGATTGAATCTTATAAGAAAGTCCAGGTGTCGGCAAACTTGCACCATAACATTTCCTCCAGTCTACAGACCTTATGTTTGCCGAACTCTGAGAAAGACTGCAGTAAGTGTTTGTTCCACTGATCGTGCCTTGCATTGGCGCCTTGGAGAATGACCCGTATTGTTCCCTGGAGTAGAAAATTTTCCGATGCCATGCACCATTGTGTTGTTAACAATAAAGATATGCAGTGATGGTTTCTCTAGAATTCAGTCACACATTGTATGATCACATGACATATTTCCCTGTATAAATTCCTGTTTTCGGTTACGAAGCCATTTTGACATCAGATGATATTCGCCAATTTTTCTTTTGTCGTTTTGATGCATTCCCAGATCTATACTTTCTACATAGATTAATCATTCTTCGCTAAAAATTTGTAGTTCATTGATCAAGCAGCCAGTTAATGAATGCCAAACATTTCCACGGACGGAAACGGCTAATATTATCAAGAGAGATCAGGAAAACAGATACTGAAAGTCAATCCTTGCTCGATGGTCAGGGAGTGAAGTAATGGCTAATTCGAGTATTGCTTGCTACACGGTTGATAAATGTCTCCCTATAAGGAAACGGCCAATATTACCATCATTATAAGAGGAAGTGGATAACAGGTACAACAGTTCGATCCTAGCTTGATGAGTGAAGAAAATGTATTAGGTTACCCAGAATTCACATAGTAAGCGGAAAGAAAACAAGAAAAATTTATGGGGCAAGTCCAACATTTATTCTTCAAAATAAAGTCCATCATTACCGACGATCTCCTGCCAGCGATCAGCCAGAATCCGAATCTTTTCCAGATGCCAGTCAAATCAAAAAACTGTAAACAAGCTTCGTTCACTTCATGAAATTGTTGAATCGCTGATCGCGACGGAAGTGTGCCATTGAGAGCAATAGACCCTAGTCACTCGGAGCAGCATCGGGACGGAATGGTTAATGTGGAAGAATTTCAACACCATCCATCTTAACTTCTCCTTAGTTAACCTGGCAATGTGCGGCCTCGCATAGTCTCCCTGAAAAAAAAAATCCCGACCTCAATTGACCACAACAGGATACTCCTTTAATTTGTCGTAAACGCAGTCAAGCTGTTGGCAATACTATTAAGCGTTGATCGCGTAACTGTGTTAAAAAAGCTTGAAATGCAGTAACCCTCGGAAATTCCACCAGACAAAGATGTATTGTTTTCTATCCGTTTCCTAAATCAGTCCGGACTGTCTGACCAACGTAGCGATATTTGTTTCTGTGGGAATATTTGGCATTCCTTGACTGAGCAGCCAGTCCGTTGAAATTTATAAATTATTTCTATTAAAACATTTTTTCAGGAAAATTGGTTTCTCAAGTCTAGTAACATTTATCACCTTTTCTATTATTGGCAGGTGTTTCATTCCTAACCTTTTGTTTTCATTAGTGTAGAACGTCAACGTCTTTAATTTGTCCGCATCGAGTTACAGATGTAATACATTTTAATGTTACAGAATCACGAATAACAGAAACCATAATACTTGAGGACATTCAACAGTAACAACACTTAAAATCGATAAAACATGTAACTCGAAAAGATCGATTCGAACGATTCAAAAATATTGATACAAACAACTTAAATGTCTGATTCGAAACATTTAAAAAACCGAGGCCGAACTGTTTAAAAAGAGTAATAGGAGACATAGAGAATGGCAATAGGAAACATTTAAAAAAGCTGATATAAATCATTTAAAGATGTTACGAACAATTTAAAAAGGTTTATACGAACCATTTCAAATGTCTTATCGGAACCATTTAAAATGTTTTATAGGAAGTGTTTAAAATGATTTATAGAAAGCATTTAAAAAGGCTGAAACAAACAATTTTAAAAGGACGAACAAAAGACTAATAAGAATCATTTACAAAAAAAAAACTTATACGAACCATTTAAAACGATTTATACAAACCATTTAAAGCGATTTATACGAATTATTTAAAACGATTTATATGACCCATTTAAAACGATTTACACGAACCATTTAAAAGGAATTATACGAACTATTTAAAACGATTTATACAAACTATTTAACGTATCTGTTATGAATCACTTAAAAGACTAATAGGAAATATCCAAAATGTGGGATATGAATCATTTAAAAGGGCAGAGACGAAACATTTAAAATTTTGAAACGAACACTTTCAAAAGACTGCTACAAACCGTTTACAAAGTTTCTTACGAATCTTTTAAAATGTCTGCTATGAGCAATTTAAAAAGTCTGAAACAAACCATTTAAAAAGGCTGAAACTAAAAGTTTAAAAAAACTGAAACAGACCATTTAAAAAGGCTGAAATGAAACATTTAACCTTTTAATGCTTTGATATACAAGGTAGAGATAACAAAAATACCGTCATTTAATACTAAGAATACACTTCAGAATTCCCAGCAAAAACCATACGCTTACTAATGTAATATTTCCTCATGCCAAACATAAAATACTTAACTTCTTGGACGATCTCCTGAATTCAGCCCTTTTCAGAGCATTAACCATATTTTAATGATTCTATTCGAATCTATAGTTTTATTTTTCTACCAATGACATCGTGTTGAGTCTATAGACGGGGCTTTTCTTAGTAGTATTCTTAAAAAAAAACTATATTGCAATCCTTTATCATAAATAAGAGAAACAGGACTTTCCTTAGTCAGAAATTAATGGTAATCATTAACAAGGGAATTGCTTTATGATATGAATAATACAAATGATTGTTAATAGTTTTACTACAGAAATACATTGAAAATTAAGCAAAAAGTATTTTCCGTGCTCAAGAATTAATGCATGCAATTCTCCCAGTACAAGGTTATAATATGTATAATGTAAATACATTGATAAATATTTTACTATTTTACTAATATTTAAAACCAAGAATAAAGGAATTATCAGTGTCCGTAATTATTGTAAGTATAACTGAAAAAAGCAGAGCTATTATACATATAATGTAAATGTACTGCTAATTATTTTTACGTTATAAAGAAAAAATATTGATAAACTAAAAGAAATAATTGTCAATGGTCGGGAATTAATGCAAATATTCGCGACAGAAAATCACTTTTACTTGCTTTATATAAATTCAATCGTTTTGGGTTTACAAAGGAAATGCAGCGTAAATGATTTTAAGACAGAGATTGAAATTTTTTTTTGTATATAAAGATAAAGAAAAGTCTTGTCAAAGGTGAGGAAATACTGGGAGATAAGGATTATAATGCTGGTTTATGTTAGAGCAAAAATTGATGATTTAGCAAGAATTAAAGCAACAATTACTGTCAGAAAAGTCTATTATAAGTTTAATATATAAATCTATTGCTAATGAATTTATTATGAAATGCATTGAAAACTAAAAATAACTGAATAGTCTATGGTCAAGAATGAATTCAAGTGTTGCTGACAGAAAGGAACTATAATATGTTTTGTTTTGTTTTTTAATCGGTATCACCCCATACAAGGTAGTAAAGCCACTAAGACACAAGCATGTGAAAGAATTAGAAACAGAAACATTACAAATGAACGGGAAGATGAAAGGGTAATCAGGAGAAAAGTAGATAGCGATTGACATTGCATTTAAACTTTTGCAGATTAAAGTTGACTGGAAGTATGGAGCCGAAAGGGAGTTCCACAAGCGAGAAGTGCGAGAAAAGAAGCTGTTACATCTCGCCAGTCTAGTACTGTGTTTAAATTCAAAATGTCTAGGCACCATAGCAAAGAACCCATCCAAACAATTACCATGAAAATATTTATCGAAAAGACACGGAGAGGAAACATTATGGCGGTGGAAAAATGACTGAAGTCCTGCCGCCATATCAGGACCAATAATATTGTAGATTTTTCTTTGGATTTTATCAAAGATCACAAAGTAAATATCAGAGGCACCGGACCATATATGCTAGCGATATTCTAAGATTATTCAAATAGCAGACTTATAGATAGTAAGATAGATTCTGGAAAAAAAAGATTGTCTCGCACGACACAGTGAACCAACTTCCTCGGCAGCTTACCTAGCAATGGATTCAACATAGTCTCTCTAATTCATGTCAGCTGAGAACGTTAGTCCGAAAACGAATCATTTTCCTAGAGGTTAGCATCAGCCATGGTGATAGACGACAGAGAATTGTCTCGCAGATGATTAATGTATAATAAAAATGCGTTTATCATGTTTACGACAGACATGCACTGAAAATCAATATGGATTGACTTTGGTAAGGAATTAATTCACGTGTTACTAACAGACAACTACTAATAGATGTATAACGTAAATGTATTGCCAAGATTCCAATCATTGTCTGAGCAATTGATTTGAAAGTGATCAACGAAAAATGGAATTGTCAGTGATCAGGAAATAATGGACATTATTTTACAAACCTTTTTTTTATGGCCAAGCATAACTTGTAAGTAGTATTCCATCTAATAATAGCGACTTTAAAAATTCTTTGCTTCCTTTTACCGCCCCCTCTCTTATTCTCTTTATCTCTGAAAGAACCTTTCTCTTTCCAAGCTGAATACTTACCTTGTTCCTTGCCACTTAGTGTCTACCTATCACACTCCATCCACAAAAGAGCTTTTTCATTCTTCACCTGTGTATTGGTTCACTTTCCAATCTGTAGAATATCTTTTAATAATTCGCCTTTTCGGTTTTCCATTCCAGATTACAAGATATTTCTACAGAACGGTACATTTGGAACATTAATAATGCAACAGTACGGTCTGAATGCTAGTGTATGTGCGGAGAACTGGACGATCCACGAGCCGAATGTTGTCTGCAGGGATCTGGGATTTAACGGTGGCATATTGCTTGGCAACCAGATCTATTGGAATCAGTCCGTTTCGCATGAGACCCGCAAAGATCGGTTTCATTGTACAGAGAACGAGAAGAATTTGAAGAACTGCACACATTACATTGGGGAATCATGTCCGGACCAATTATCACATGCTTCGTTGCTATGTTTCCATGAAAACGGTAAGTCTATCTCCTTTTCCCTTTGTTAATCTTTTATATATATATATATATATATATATATTTATTAAAGACATTTTTATTTATGTTTAACGTTGTTATTTTATAGATACAAGTATTTAAGCAAATGCTCTGTTTAAATACTTGTATAAATAAAATAACAATGTTAAACATAAATAAAATATTCTTTTAATAAATAAATTGTTTCGGACCTCGTCCATTTCTTTAACATATGACGTCATTTGTTTACATTCGATACGCCAGAGCAGTTATGAATGTACGAGATTCATGGAAGATTGTAGTTTATAACAGTAAATTCGACCTTGTTCACTATAAGGTTCATGGTGGCCGAGTGGTCAAGGCACGTCAGCGTAAATGACGTTCCGTATAGGATGCAGGTTCGAATCTTGTCTATGAACGAATATTTTTATGAAAATTTCTCGGACATTCAGGCCGGTAAATGTTATTTAATACTGTTTATCATAAACAGAGCATTTGCTTAAATACTTGTATCTATAAAATAACAACGTTAAACATAAATAAAAATGTCTTTAATAAATAAATTGTCGGACCTCGTCCATTTCTTAACATATATATATATATATATATATATATATATATATAAAGATATGACAAACTGCTATTTTTCTAAATACTGTTGATATATAAAATTATGTATAGTTATATCATTCATATGTATATATATATATATATGTATCAACTTGTTCATTATCTGTCTGAAACTGTTCATTATCTATCCATCTATCTCATTCTGTCTATGTTCTCTCTCTCTCTCTCTCTATATATATATATATATGTGTGTGTGTCTGTCTGTCTAAGTCTATCCATTTTATATCTATCTACATGCATATATCTACCTACCACAGTCTCATCATTTTATATCTATTTAAATACCCAATTATCTGTCTATCTATCTATATATCTATCTACATATCTATCTACATATCTATCTATCGTAGTATTTTCATTTTATATCTGTCTCATTCTATTCATTTTATATTTATCTATCGATATATATTTATCTACCTACCATAGTCTCATCATTGTCTATCTATCTATATACCCATCTATGTATCTATTTCTCTAAGTCTATTCATTTTATATTTATCTATCATAATATCTTCATGTCTAACTATATCAATCTCTTCATGTTTATCTGTTTTAATCTTTTCAGATACTTTTTACTTGTAAATTTCTAATTTTAAGCAACTGATGGATTTCTCAAAATTATCCCTTTAAGCGTTATATTTTAATGACTACTTGTGTTTGAGTTAGACTCCTTGCTTATTTGTTTTGTTGATTCATTTATTCTTGTCAAAATGGAGATTCACCTTAATAAGACTTTCGATTTCTAGGCCGGTTAATTTCAACGTTTAAAAAGACACTATCCAGCCGGGCTAAACCATAAATTTAACAATATAGATAGTATTAATATATAACCCTACAAATCAAAACCTACCCACATTTCTCACCCACACAAGACAGACATGCTTACAGAGGTGTTGAGACCTCACACACTTATACACACACTCACACGAATATATACACTTACACACATCATACTCACTCACTCCCTAATGAGCCAAATGATAACACACACCCACAGCAATATACACACGCTTACACATATCATACTCACTCCCTCCCTAAGAACCAAATAACACAGACACACACTTAACAGAGACACATCCACTCTCCAGGAACCAATAAAACTGTCAAACTGATCAAGGGAATTCCGAGCAGCATGGGTCCATCCAGCTCTTATCTCAAATAACAACTTAAAAGAGACTGTTTGACCAACACAAGGAATGTTAAAAGATTCATGTTAAAAAGATAACAAAAAAAAAAAAAAACAAATGAAAACTACAGACAAAAATTCATTTTCTCCAGCAAGACATTCATTTCTGTAGTTCACTGCTACCAGCAAGCAGAAATATTTCTTCTCCTGATGATGGCCATTTTGGCCGAAACTAGTCGAGGAACCTAAATGAAATAATAATAATAAAAACGAAAGAATATTAATCTACAACCCAGTGTGTCTGAAGATTTTAATTTTTAATATTTTTTATTGTTCAATATATATATATATATATATATATATATATATATATAAACTAACGAACCAGAACCTATTACCTAACGGATTTTTTTCTTATCGGGTGGCCGTTTTACCAATAAAATGTAGTTTGGATCAATCCTTTTTGTTTTTCTTTGTATTTTGGTTTTGTTTTCTGATAATTTTTTTACTCTTTCTGATGGTAGTTTATTATTATTCTGATGATCCCATTGCAGTTGCTTGATTATTTTCAAGCAGTACGAATATTTTTGGTCTTTTCTTTTTAATGAAGTTTTATCCTAGATTTCAGTTTGTGTAAATATTTTAACGAACCAGAACTTATCTACCTAGATTTCCCCTAACGGACCATCAGGATAACTCTAGCTAAAGGGTTGGCCCAAATGATATTTTATTGAAAAAAACTGTCACCAGAAAGAGTAAAAAAAATTAGCAGAAAACAAAGCCAAAATCAAAAAGGATTGGCCCAAACTACCTTTTATTGGTAAAACGGCCACTCGATAAAAAAAAATCCGTTAGATAATAGATTCTGGTTCGTTAGTTTACATTATCCCTTTAAGCGTTATATTTTCATGAGACAGTTGACAAAGACTCGGATCTGGACGAGTTGCAAGTGAGCCCTGGATCTGGATACACTAAGCTCCTATGCTGCTAACGTTAAAAACCCAGGTGTGACTAGCTTCGAGAGATATATACGCATTTTTTTTAATTATATTTAGCATTTAAAATAAACGGGATTTGTATCGTGCTATCGATCAGGGACAATATTTATATTTATCAATATGTGTGTATGTGTGTGTGTGTGTGTGTGTTTGTGATTTTTAGGAACTGCAGAGTAAATGATAGTAGAAAATCGACTTCAATAGTAACAGAAACGTTTTCTGAAGAAGAAAAAACAGTTTCTGTCTACCAGTGGGATCGTCTCTTTTCAGACAAATAGTTCCTCTCGGAGTTCTAATAAAGACAGACTAGAAAGAATTTGTAGAAACGTTGAGAGAGACAAAATTGTATACAATATCTCATTGCAATAGGGATTACGGCCCTCACCTTGAAACACCGGATCCCGTACGATTACCGAAGTTAAGCAACGTCTAGTCTGGTCAGTATCTAGATAGGTGACCGTTTGGAAATACCAGGCTAAGTAAGCTTGGATGTACGATGTTTGTATTGGATAAAGTCTCAAAATTTTTAATCGGAGAACCGGATTCTAGTTCCAGTCGGGTTCGTTACATTCACTTACTTGCAAATACCATTGGGAAAGATAGGAATCCACTTTTTGCCCCCCTTGCTATGGGTTAATTAGTAAGACTTGTCTAGCTAAAACATCTTCAGAAAAACTAAAATAAAATTGCGTGCAAAATATTTAGATTTCGACTTTAGATGACCCATAGCGATATTGATATGTCGCTAAACAAAAAACACCAACCAACATCGTTAAAATAACTAGAGTTGTTGCAAGACTGGATGAATAATCATTTTTATGACCCCTGGTATTATCTGTCCGGGCAAATTAGTCATGGATTATAAACAAATAATAAAATTTATAAATAAAACGAATTTACAGAAAATAGAGGAAAGTGAAGAAATTTGTTTTTTTATTTTGTTTTTTGTTTTGTTTTTTCAGCAAGGGGCTGTACAAGAACCGGGTGCCACTTGAGGTAGATGGTTACGATAAGGCGTAGTTTATATAGATAGGAGGGGACGATAATGGTTGAGTCTAATCTTGAATAGGATAAGATCGTAATAATCGAGGAACTATTCTTTATGGAGTCTGTTCTATTGCAGTGTTCACGGGAAGAAGCTTTTTATACAGAGAGAATATGCGTGGTTTGGTACTATGTTACTCGCATGGCGGATCCTAGCCATGAAGGTCATACCTGGTGGAACCAAGTGATGTACTTCGCCCGAGCACTTTCCATGGTAGAAACGATAAAGCAGTGAGAGATTCGCTAGATCACACCTATAAGAGAGAGGTTCGAAGGTGGAAAATATTTGAAGTTGTTGAAAGTTTAGCACAAATTTAAGTTGATGTCTCTAAAGTACTTAAATGCTGCGTGTTGCACGTGGCAGAAAAGGGACGTATGCCGTTGCACCCAGAGCCAGTGAATACTACCCCGAACCTGTGGTGGGGGTAAGCCTGATTGGAGGCTACGGAGAAGTATTTTGATCCTTGCTATATTATCAACATTTGTTTTATTCTATCTACATTTATATGTATTAAAAATTAAACTAATCTCTACTGATTTTCGCGGATTCTGACGTCATTTCGGAATCTTTTTTCATCCAAATTCGTGAATTTGTTTTCTTCAGGCTCAGTGTAAAAAACTCTATATAAAATTATAATAATTATTTATTTTTTTACCTCAATGTTGAATGTTTTAAAATTAACCAACTTTTTAACAAGAAAATCTCAAGCTTTCTAATTAAACTGAATTTAAAAACGTACTTACTTTTACCTTAAAATATCGCAGGAAAGCATTAAAAATATTAAAAACGTACTTACTTTTACCTTAAAATATCGCAGGAAAGCATTAAAAATATTAAAAACGTACTTACTTTTACCTTAAAATATCGCAGGAAAGCATTAAAAATATTAAAAACGTACTTACTTTTACCTTAAAATATCGCAGGAAAGCATTAAAAATATTAAAAACGTACTTACTTTTACCTTAAAATATCGCAGGAAAGCATTTTTAACGCAGATGTGGATGTTTTTATCAGGTGTTGATAGATTTATCGATAACTTAACGTATGAAATTTTTAAGTAAAAGGCAATGAACTGTAAAAATTACGTTACGAATACGTGCACTTCTCACAAAAGGACGGTGTTTTGACCAAACAGGTTGCTACTGTTATCTCGCCAGATAAATGCATGCGTACAACTACTGCTAGTAATATTTTTTTTTTTTTTTGTATTCGAATTAAATTGCTCTCATCCAGAACAAAACGTTTGCTTCTACCACATATCTCAATTAGATGAGAGTTGTTGATAAATCGGTAAAACAAAGAGCAACTCTGAACGTAAGTCCAGATGAACGTATCCACCTTATCAAAGATGTTCGACCCTGTAGTCATATCAAACTCTCCCATAGTACAGGATTTGGGTTGGGTTTTCTTTCCACCAATTTTCTACATGATGGCAATTAATTCTGAAAGTTAACGCGTTAGTAATCGGAATCAATTTTTAAAAATGACCAATTCACTAATAAAGAAAGTGGAATAATATAGATCTTTTCTGAATTGTGTTCAACTTGCTATTCTAACCATTTTATTTGATTGGCTACGACTAATTCATTCGACTTTCTTTTCACATCGTTCTGCTATGTTTTCTCTGGCTTTACTGGTATTTCTGTTATGTTCTATGTGTAATAAATCGTAGCAGTTATCTCCCCCTTTCTAAACTATAATAGTCACATTCATTTTTTATTCAATCCAGTTGTTACCGAGTTGAATAAAAACTTCTTTTATTTGCGAACTCAATTATAAACACACTCTACACATTCCAGTAGACGCAGAAATTAACCCAAACAAATTACATACAATGATTAATGTGGTATTCATTTTTTAAAGAAAAGTATTTTTGGTCAAACTTCAAATTAAGAATAGCATGTTAAGTACATTTTAAAGACGCTGGAAAGTATAGAGTTCATAGTTATTTTTTCGACAAAAAATTTAAAATAAATAATTTTGTCGCAATTTAGCCGAACATCAGAGAGAGGGTGTGGTCTCTTTTTGAAGCTAATGCTACATTTAATCCCGAGAGTCCGAAGATGTCAATATATACGAAATTCTGTTGAGTAGAATACGAGATCTGCGTTTGAGAATAACTGTACGAATGAACTGAAAGTTTACCTCGCTAAGCATTAAACCATGGAGGGGTGTCTAACAAATCTGGGACAAGGCCACAAATATGGGAATATTGAAGATTTGATTGCAGCGGTAATGTTTTCTGAAAGGAATTTACTAACTACTGTTCCATAGCAATATTAAAAGAGCAATCCATAATTTGTTCCCAGATTTTGAATTCACAGTTGTCTTTTTCCTAAACTTATTGCCAACCACAGCTTCTTTCTTTTATGTGCCATGTCCTTTCAGGACGTAGACGATCATGGCTCTCCACCTCCCTCTATCCTTTGAAGCTCTCAACTAGTTCCTTCCCTCTACTTCCTCCCCCAGACCACGTTCTGTCATGCACTTGATTCAGTCCGCCAGGTATATCACGCGTTGTTTTCCCTTGTCTCTTTTTCCCTCTATTCGACCCGTGAGTATCAGATTCTCCAGTCCCTCCTTCCTCATTAAGTGTCCCAGAAACTTCAGCTGCCTCATCCTGATATCAAGTATAAGCCTCCTCCTTGTTTGCAACCTCTCTAAGATCTAATCGTTGCTCACACGCTCGGCCCTTAGCATCCTTCTGTAGAACCACATCTCTGTCGCCTCGAGTCTCTTCTTCATCTTTGAGGAAATCGTCCAACATTCTCTGCCGTAAAGAAGGACAGATGTCACGTAACAGTTCCGTATTCTTTTCTTTGTTACAACGAGAACTCAGTATGACCTGCTGTTTAAACAATAGCTGGAGCGAGAACAGATGCGTTCATACATTTCCCATGGGTATTTGCCCGTAGAACACGACTGGAATTCGAACTTGGCTCATTCGATTTCTAATTCCGAACCACTCTCAATTACACCATCCGCACACCTTCCAAGTGATTTAAGGGGAGTGGTGATTACTTCGAATTGAGTTCATGGCAGTCGGAATGTTTGAAAAGCTCTGTAAAACATTCCTCAACGGCTAGAATTACTAAGCTTAGATTAATCTAGCGGAAGGCATCGTGTGGAGGAAAACCAAATATAATGCAAGCTAATTACAGTCGGGATTATCTATGATTATCTAGGATACTAATTAACACTCCGTTTCTTCCGGGCTAAGCAAGTTAATATTTAATAAGGGAAGATTTGTCTAACACAAAGCTATAGATACAGAGAGAGCAATATTAGTTTATAAAAGTTGTATTAATTTTGTAATAAATAGGGGATGTAGCGAGCCTTTCTGCATGTTTGTGAAGCTTATGTCATGATTTACATTCATTTATTCTTCTTTTCTTACTGTGAAATCCATAATGAAACTGGACAGCGGTCCAAAGGTGCACCAGTATGTCCCAGTGAGCCTTCATCCCAGGCAGTACATCTTCTTCTGCGTTTACTGCCCGGCGCCTAAGGCGTCCCCAAAAGGGGAAGTGCCGAGGGAGCTTGGAAATTTTTTCCACGTTATTGCCGTTAAACCCACTCGAACTTGTGTCACACACGGTAGCGACATGAGCCCGCTGAAAAATATACACACACACAAAAACACGTACTCAACACAAATGCAAACAAACACACGCACAGCATTAAATGAAGAAATGTGATAAAGTTCAAAAAACGTTGAAAATTTTCAGCTTGCGGCAACGTTCATTTTCCGCAGAGCCCAACGATTAAAGCTGTCGACTCAAGTCCTACTACAACTGGAATCATTAATGTCCTTATGTGCCGTCTGCGGCGGCCTGGTGTTGAGTTCGTCCGTAAACTGGTGACGCCAAACGCACCCACTGGTTGGAGGAAGCACCGAGGTGGTCAACTCACGACGTGGCTCGCAACGGTCAAAGCAGATATGGAACTCATGACCGGTCCTTGCGTTTTCGGGGTCCGACGCTGGAATCGCGAATGGCTCGATCATGCCGTCGATTCTGCTGCCGATCGAAGAGGGTGGATGGTCTTGACGCGCGATGCTGTTAATTCAATTGGAGCCGGCTCAACCCACCCCGGGTGAATGCCGTTACAAGACAAGAAGATCTTTTTTCAAGATCCTTAGTTTTTTGAAATTCTTCAAAGATACCTTATAATCTGATGGGAATGCCATTATTATTATGTTTTCTCTTTTTCCACACGGGTTTTCGTTTCAACCGGAGAGTTTCCTTGATGAGTGTTTTTTTTTTTTGTTTTGTTTTGTTTTTTTTGTTTGTTTTTTTATCAAGTCGTACGACTTCAGACAGAAGAATATTTTCGGAAGCAAGCAATACAGAATTCTGAAGCGATTTTCTTCATGTAAGTCGATGTTATAGACCCCAACGCTGGCACAATAGTGGCCTGAACGTCCCATA